TGTATGGAATCCATCGGGGGGAAGTATGGAATCCATCAGCCATTCCATGGAATCCATCCCCAAAGTCATGGAATCCATCCCCCACTCCATGGAATCCATCTGGAATTTGTGCAGTCCACCCCCCATTCCATGGATTCCATATGGAATAACCCGGGGAGGGTAAAGTACTGGCTGGATCACTCAGCTGCAAGTTTGGCAGGATCAAAAAGAATGTTGAACTGTCAGCAAGCATCAGAAACAAAGAAGTTTCCTTATTTGGATGTTGCCCTGAACCCTGAACAAAGTACCTGAACATCATCATCAACAGTGGGAACCATTTGTATTTTTTCTGATTTTTTTGGGTGATTATCTGGCTATCATTGGATAGATTACCATATTTGGAAATAGACGCTGAACCCTGAAAACAACCCAACATCATCATCACCATCCCGCAATTTTTCCTGATTTTTCGAGTATTTTTAGATAGATTACCATATTTGGATAGACCCTAGACCCTAAAAACAACCCAACATCATCATCACCATCCTCCAATTTTTTCTGATTTTTCGGGGATTTTCTGGCTATTTTTGGATAGATTACCATATTTGGACATAGCCCCTGGACCCTGAAAACAACCTAACATCATCACCCCATCCCCCAATTTTTCAGGTATTTTCTGGCCATGTTTGGATAGATTACCATATTTGGACATTCCCTGGACCCTGAAAACAACCTACCATCATAAGAGGTCTTTATGCTGCCACTGCTTTTCCGAGCAGACTCTGGCCGGACTCCATCGGACTGACAGTATTCAGAACAGACATTTTTTCTGCTTTGCAACTACAGCAATTTTCCAGTGAATGTCCAAAGCTTTTCCAAGCATTTCTGGTCGGACCTCTAAGTCCGTTGGATTTTTCCGACAGACTAACAGCAAACTAGCAGCCAGTCCACTGGAAATGACAGGCAAGCACCACGGAATTCCAGTGGACAAATCCAACAGAAGTCCAACAGAAGTCCAACGGAATTCCAACAGACTGTTCTTATTATAATTATATAATATAAAAAAATGCAACATCATGGAATTGAACACCAGACCTCATGCACTGAAGAATATTCAACACAACACTGAACCAGCTGGACTAAGGCAGCATTGATATAGATAGGTGTTTTGCATTATACATACCTACTATTTGACTGCCTTCCTAGAATGGTCATCGGCAAACGCCGACGCGTGATTTTCCCATCATCAATGATCCATGTCTCTCTTCCTCAACCATCATCCATCCCCAGTGGCAACGACAATCCAGCGTCATCCGATGGCGACGACGCACGGCGACGTTGTCTGCGCAAAGTGAGTGCCTGGATGTGAAATAGCCCAGCTAAGAATATGAAATATCCCAAGGCAAGAAATGAAATATCCCTGACAAAAAAATGAAATGCCTAAAACATCGCACCAGGAAAGCAATGAAATATAGCCCCAGGCAAGTAATGAAATATGGGATTAGGTAGAGATGAAATGGCTAAAACCTCAAGGTAAGCAGGCAATGAAATATGAGGCCAGGAAGAAATGAAATCACTAAAACATCGCACTAGGAGAGCAATGAAATATAGCACCAGGAAATCAATGAAATATAGGACTGGGTAGGAATGAAATAGCTAAAACATCGCACTAGGAAGCAATGAAATATGGCACCAAGCAAGCAATGAAATATAGGGCTGGGTAGGAATGAAATAGCTAAAACATTGCACTAGGAAGCAATGAAATACAGCACCAGGCAAGCAATGAAATATAGGGCTGGGTAGGAATGAAATAGCAAATGAAATGGAAATGAAATCAAGGTTGGAATGATTGACAGGGAGCTGGGATAAATGACATAGGCTAGGAAAATGAAATTGAAATGATTTCATAAGTTTGCCTAGGCATTTCATATCATAAAAAACCTTGGCTGCAAATAAATGACTGTGCTGACAGTTGCCTATTTTATATGATTTAAATGGTAGGTACCACTCCCAAAAACCACTATCTACGGCCATAAAAATAAGCAAAACCAAAATATATTGTGAAAAATCACAACCAAAAACCAAAACTGTGGGATGAAAACCAAAGCCATAGAATAGAACCATGTGAAAACCACTATCTACGACCATAAAAATAAGCAAAACCATGTAAAATATGTAGAAACCATAATAGATTGTGAAAAATACACTCATATACTACCCATGCATGCAGTACTTTACACTCCCCAGGTTATTCCATATGGACTCCATGGAAGGTGGATGGATTCTAGAAATGTGGGATGGATTCCATGGAATGGTTGATGGAATCCATACTTTTTCCATGTGGAATCCAGATGGAATAAGTTTATGGACTTATAATTCCAAAGTCCACATCATCAGTTCTACAGTTATTCCATAGATAGCTGAACAGGGAAAATTAAAAATATACTGGATAGGATTACACAAATTTATTTTACTACACTAACTATTGAAGAGAGAGAAAGGGAGGGGGAAGTGATGGAGAGGAGTAGGTGTGGTAGACAGTGAGGGGGGAGAGAGTGGTGGAAGGCAGGGGGGGGAATGGAGGGAGGGGGGAGCAAAGGGAGAGGAGCAATGGAGGGAGGGGAGAGCAAAGGGAGGGGAGCAATGGAGGGAGGAGGGAGCAAATGGAGGGGAGCAATGGAGGGAGGGGGGAGCAATGGGAGTGGGAGCAAAAGAAGGGGGAGAAAATGAGGGAAGAGGAGCAATGGGAGGGGAAGGGAGTAGAGTGGAGAATGATGGAGGAGGGGAAGCTCACCTGGGCTTGTTGTTTCCCCTGTCCATTCACATTCATGGGCAGTTGTCTTCATTTTGTGGGCATCCATTTTCATTCATGGGTGCTTGCATTGGTGGTGGTTGTTGTTCATAGGTGCTCCTGGGCGGTGGTGCTCATTTCGGTGGGTATACATTGTTCAAAGCTGGGCGGGCTTAGTTGTTGTCATGTCATGGGCATTTGGCATTGTTTGTGGGCAGGGGGGTTGTGCAGGTTGGTGAGTGTCGTTCGTGGGTGGGTGGGCTTGTTGGTTGTCATATCGTGGGTGTTTGGTGTCGTGTCTGGGCGCTTGTGGGTGTTTGTGGGTGGTGGGTGTCATCTGGGGTGGTGTATGCTGTTCATGGGTGGCCTAGTTCTTGTTCATTGTCATGTCCATTTGTGTCCCGTCATTCTTGTGGTGGTGCTCTTTACTGGCAGGGTGGTTTCTTGTGTCATCAGCATCTTTGTGGTTGATGTTGTTGTCATTGTCACTGTCAACATCCTTGTCATCAATGTCGCAGGTGGTCATGATTTGAGACGGCAGTGGTGGATGGCGATGGTGGTGGTGGAAGGAAGGAATGATGTGGCAATGTTCCAGCAAAAGCTGTCATGTTTACAATGCCATGTACCTGAAAGTGCTATACATGTACCTTTTATTTAGCAAATAATAATGCCTCCATGGCTCAATGGGCTTCAGCACTGCTCTTGTTTACATGATTGAGAGTTCAATTCTTGATGTTCACAATATTTTTGACAAATTCATGAAAGTCAATCTATGGCTGGAATCCAGATGGAATGGACCTGGACTAGTCCATGGAATTTTTCTGGACTGAGCCTAGTGAATTGTTTGGAATCCAAATGGAATCCACCAGGAATATTCCATAGAATCCATCATTCCATCCATATTCCATATGGAATCCATGGAATGATAGTGGAATCCACCCATTCCATATGGATTCCATGTGGAATATACCAGGGAGTGTAAAGACCTTGATTGACCATGTGTTATTCCTCAGAATGCCAATGTGGTGTTCCTCAGAGTGCTGTTGGACTAAAGTGGGACACCCAGCACTATATTAATTAAGAGCATTGCATTTTGAAGTTTGAATGACTATGGCTCCTCAACAGTCTGCCTGTATTGCCAATAATGTTCGAAAAACCAAATACAACACCTTCGGGGCACCTGCTCCCAGAGGGACCATCAAGAAACCTTCTGGTCCTCCAACAACAAACAGTAGAACCAAGAAGGTCATCCCAAAATCCAGCATCATCCCGAAAGGTGGTTCGCTGGCATGCATCAACAGTGGTGAACGAATCATTGACCAAGGAGTGGTGCGATGTTTGATTATTATATTATTATTTACTTGCTAATGAGAGGATTTAGTGGTGCAGCAACTCTTTCAATGGTGGGACAGTTGTGAGACAATTTCGATTTGCAAGGAATGCCTTGATTTTGGAGGTCAAGATGCCACATTTCAGCGCCCACCTTGCTTTCTGAAGAATGACAGTCTTGGGTGTTATGTTTGTCAACCATTTCAGCATTTTGAATGATACTTACCCTCTCTAGCCTTATACTTTCTTGACTAAGACCACCACCTCTAGGCAACTCTGGCCTAGAATCATCACTTCTCCTGTCGCAATCATCTCTATCCATCTGGAAGGGATGAATGACATTCCCTCCCTCCTTGCATATCACCATCTGCATGACTGGCTTCATGGCAACGTCGTTCATGTTGGCTTGGACTTCCACCTATGTGATGTCCCTCACAATGATTTTGAAAGCCAATTGGACACAATGCTTGCAGCATTTGAAAGGAAGGGCCAATTTGAAGGGTATGTTTCCATCACTTTTATTGTTCTGAGACCAATTCTTTTTTTTTGCTTAGATGGACCCAGTTTATGGTAATTGTAATGACTCATTCAGATCTGGACACAGGTTTTCCCCATATTGCACCAAATAATGGTGCTTCTGTTCCTGCTGAGGAGGTCTACCACTTTATTTTTTGCCCTATATTTTGACCTTCTGAATGCATTCCTAGACATCATGCACAAGTTGTCTTTCACATTAGAAGAGACTACTGTACTTTCATATCAATAGCTACTGTTCTGTCTCAAAACAGAGTCAATGTTGATATGAGTTTATGGATGATGGGCTGATTGGTCCTGCAGAATGAGTTGTTGATAGTGTTTAAAGGTTCAGTCCATAGGACCGCAAAAAACCGGTGGACCAAACTGAACCAGACCATGGTCCGGTCTTTTTTTTGGTTGCAGTTGCCCCAATTTGGGGTTGGTCCGGTTGCCGGTTGCCTTATTTCGAAAATCTTTTAAAACCGTTCAAAGACCGGTTTTAATCGGTTGCAACCGGTTAAACGGTCACGTGCGTTACATAGCCTTGTAACCACGTTTATTGCCTTTTATTGGGTTTTTGTTTCATCAAAAACGGTTAAGAATTGAGAAAGATATAACCAAATCCATATTTTACCTGAGTCTCTATGAGATGTAATTCGGTTTCAGTCATAGCTATGTCAAATCTTCATGAAATCTCTTGAAAACTGGTAGAATGACGGGTATTTATATGCTTTACTATTTTATATAACTCGTTTATTTTTCAGAGTAGTAATGGTTGAGATACAAATGGTTTATATTGGTATAATAAATTATACGCAAAAAAACTGGTCTGGATCGGTCTGAACTGGTATCATGGACCGCAAAAGACCGGTCCTAGGTGGTTCGGTTCGGTTCCCTCAATATCTGGGTTGGTCCTGGACCGGTTGCGGTCCATGGTTGCGCGTTTTCGGGGCAAAAAACCGGACTGAACTGAACCTTTAAACACTAGTTGTTGACATCATGCACAAGTTGTCTTTCACATCAAGAGAGGCTATTCTATGCTTTCGTTTCATATTGGTGGCTGAAGCAGCTACTCTTACCTTTACATCAATAGCTACTGTTCTGTCTAGCTACTGTCCTGTCTGTATGAGGATTCTTAGCCTTTGGGTTTGCTTCCCAAGCTGTGATTTTCAACTCCCATTTCTTAATGGATGCAGATGGAAAAGTAGCTGAGAGTTGTTTAAAAACATCCTTCTGCTTTGTGCTCATCTTGTATGTGTTGTTGAAGCATTTTAGAAACAGTGTTCCTATTGAAATTTGTGGTGAGCAGCAAGAAACAGAGAACAATAAAACATGCATATGAAATTCTACAATCTTATGAAAGTTCCAGCCATTCCAGTGATCATTGAGGGTGTTGTGACACACTGCCAGACCCATTTCACAAACACTTGGGGCTAATGGGTTTGTACCTGCCCAAATGGTTTCAATGTCTTCTCCAACCATTCGCCCTGCTTCTTCCAGGTTTCCTTTGTGGGCGGTCGTTTTCATCCTTGGGCAGTCATTGTTGTTCGTGGGCATGGTGCTTGCATTGCATTGTGTCCCCTTCATTGTCATCCTGTGGTGTCATCGTCATGGCGTTGTTGTCATGGCCTCACTCCGTGTCATCAGCATGTGGAGTAAACAGTGCCATGTTGCTGCCAGTGCCCAGTTTCCGTATTATTCCATTCATGGGCACCCACGGTCATTCCAGGATAGTGGTGGCTGGTGGTGGGCATTTCGAGGTGGTGGTGGTGGTTTTCATGGGTGGTGGCAGCCATTTTCATGTGTGGGCATCTGTTTTCATGTGTGGGCATCTGTTTGTGGTTGTCTGGGGGCATTCGTCATTGTTTGGGCAGTCCACCTTTGTTTGTGGCATGTATCTTCATTGTTTGGGTGGTCGTGTCAATGAGGTGGTCATGAGTTGGCATTGGCATTGGGTGTCGTGTTGTCGTTGTTGTGGACGGTGTCATCAGGTTGTCGTCATGATGGTTGAAGAAGAAGAAGGAATGTCACACACTGTGACATTACTGTGATGTTTAACCTTGCACATGATATTACCTGTATGAAGTCATGTGACCTCTTCAGTGCACCCAATCCTGGCCCAGTCCTGGCTGAGGTGAAAGAACGAAGTCGCGGGTGGCCAACTTTGAGGTCTGACGATCAAGGCTGTGATTAGTAAGTAGTAAGTAAGTTTGCATATTAAATATATTGAACAACTTCATAACCTCAATTAGAGTTGGAAGCTACTAGTACTTGACCTGAGACCATCATCATATAGTACACCACAGCAGAATGACTTTGATCATATTCAAAAAGCTCAATGTTGCACTAGTAGTACACAATGAGTCAGAATGCAAACTGCAGGAGGACTACACCCAGCATGCTGCCAAGAAGGTACAACTATGATGCATCCAATCAATTAAAGGTGTAACATAGTCAGACTAGACTCGGAAAGCTCACCTCCAGCAGAACTCCTGAAAGGATACTGCTGAGAATTACTATGTCATGGTGGTGGTCACCCTGAGGATGATGAAGGAGTTGGTGGAGGCAAAGCAAAAAGATTTCATTGGTCAGTCCCCATTGGTGTTGACATCCTTTCAGTACAAAAACCAATGTTAGCTCAGTTAAAGTTGATAAAGCTAGGAACTGACCCTGATCATAATCACCTCTGCCAAGAATGAGGTAACACTATCTGGATTCATGGGATCAGGGGCCCAGATCCCAAAGAGAGAAAACATGTAAGGTGCGGGTGTAAACCATATGGTTAGTGTGTCATGCAAATTGAAGCTATGTCATAAACAGCATGCAGCACTGATCTGGCTAGGTCTTAAAGGAAACATTGTGGTGTTACTAACTCCTGTCTATCAGGAGATAGTGTCAAATGATGTTCCAGGTGGAAAACCCTGACCCACTCAAAGCTAATCTGATGCAATGTTTCATTATCCCACACAAGTAGACATAGGTGTCCCTATAGTACCATAAGAGTGCAACTTGGTCAATTGTCCTATAGGTCATAGGACTACCCAAATGGGCCCAATGAGCAACTAGACTATGGTGTTGTAGATTGGCCCAAAGGTGTATAAACATCTAATGTTTATCATTGGGCCAAATAGGCAAAAATGGATGGTGATTTTAGGAGAGGGAGTTCTGAAATACATTATCTCCAGGGCATACACAAATGTTATAGAAGTCTGAGGGATGTGCGGAATATTCAGAAAAACAATCCTGGTGTCCATATCAACATCCCAGCACAGAATGCAAAATGTCTGGAGCATCACTTCTGACATCCAGAAAACATGCAAAAATGAGTTTACAGAATACAATATCCCATGGACCTGTATAAATGTGCCAGGGATTGATGAAATGTTGAGGAGAACATCCCTCGCATCCATATATATGTTCTGGGACAATGTGACATCTCCAGGCTATCAACTTTGATATTTATGGGACATCCGAAAATGGCTCAGGTGTGAACCACATTTGATAGAACATCCCACAGGACCATTAATATTATTATCCCAGCAACATCAGAAAAAAAGATCATGGTAGCCACATAAATGTCCGAGGGGAATGCAAAAGGTCGGAGCAATAATCTGAATATCACAGG